GTGTTTAGCTTAAAATATGACACCCCCACGCCGAGGGTGGGGAATTACAGCCGCCAAGCCGCCAACCCCTAAAACCCTAAAACCCTAAACATCAAAAGCCCGAAAAGCCCCTAACCAACACCCTAAGAACCTAGAGCCCCTAAAGTGCAAAAACCCCAGAACCCTAAAACCCTAAAGCCCTAAAGCCCTGAAGCTCTAAGACCCTAAAGGCCCTAACCTCCAAAGCACTGACCCTTTTAAAGCCCCAAAGCACACAGTCCCAGGTATAGAACAGCATCCCAGCACCTTTCCCCAGCCAGCCGGTCCTGCACAGGCTCCATTGCCGAGAGCTGTTTTGGAGTTTGGGGTTTAGGGGTTGGAGCTTTGGTGTTTAGTATTAAGGGTTTAGGGTTTCGGGTGTGAGGTTAGAGTCTTGCCGTTTAGGGTTTTTGGAGTCGTTCATTCTCGGATTCTGAGGCTTGGGATCGTTTGGCCCCCTCCCCCCAATTTGTTGCAAAGTCATGTTTAGGACCCAGGGCGGCTCTACATGAATACCTATACGCGAGCACCCACACATACCAACATTATCAGTCCTTCCGCCTTTCATCCCTAAACCCTAACAGCCGAACCCAGGTTTGGGTGGAGATCCTTCCTGGTAGAATTCTTCTGGGCTTTTCAGGGGCATGATGGGGCAGCCTTTTCTTTGTTTTGGTAGCATCTATCAAGACTGGCTTGTTCAGCCAGGTCTCTCCGCATTTGGTCGGAATCCTCACCCAGCTTTGCTGGCCCTTGCTCCTGGCCCTCGTGCTCTGCCTCTGGGGCGGACTGGCGTTGCCTTGTCGGAGGACACGGGGTCCTGTTTGCTGGGAGTAGCGTCCCCCGAAGAAAAACGAACCCCAAAACTGATGAAACGTGTAGGTAGAACCTTGCTGCTGCAACATTGTGCTGCACAGAAGTCTGTTGACCCTGAACCGATCCAATACAGGAGACAAAGCAATTACGATTATCATCCCCTTTATCATAATCCTTCATCCTTAAATATGCATTGAGGAGTTTTGCGGCTCTCTCCGGCCTCTCCTTCCTCTTTGTCTTGGGGACCTTTACCCAGCACACGGAGCTGCAACCCTTCAGCTGGGATGGCAGCCTCCTGGTCCTCTGCGGATCTTTGCTGAGCCTGGCACGACAGCCCAAACTGGAGCCGGGTGCGCAGCCTCTCCCCAACAACTGTCGCTTGGCTCCGCCAGGGCTGTTTTGAGAATTATGGTTTGCTTGCTAGTTCTCGTCCCTCGTACCCCTCAGAAACCGACAAGATGTCATATAATTGTCCAAGAGCAGCACAGGTGAGGGAGAGGGTGACTTCCTCGTGCACTCGCCCGGGCAAGCCTTGCGATGGGTCCTACTTCGAGCCGTGCGCGTCTACCCGGTGTACTGGGTCGCCTTAAGCCTGGACGACGTGTGGGAGCATGTGGGAGCTGAGTGGATCCTGAACCCTCTTCATCTCGTTGCGATGCTGGGTTGCTGTTGAAGGAACTTAAAGCTAAGCTACCAGGTTCTGTCTATGTTGCAAAGCATGTTTTTTTTTTTTTTTTTTTTTTTTTTTATGCTGGTAACTGACTTTCCAGATCCTGAACAGCAACCCAGGATGTGTGTGGGCACTCTCGTGCAAAAGGCAGCTCAGGAGCCGCGACGGTTCCTGCTCTTGGAGGGAGTGCCTGGAGCAACGGGTCCCTTCTGGCTCTTGCACATCGTGACTGGGTTGCTTTTAACTGAACTCAGAGTCCAGTTACCATGTCCATGTCCAAAACAGGGTAGCTTAGTTTGAGTTCCTTAGCAAACAGCCGAGGTGATGCTGGTCTACATCGTGAGCCCTCTCCTTGAGTTTTGCCTGCTCCGGCCCGTCAAGTCTCGGAGAGGTCTCTTGGTCATGGCTGCCCTTTGCGTTGTCGCAAAGATGGTCATCGTAGCTTGTGCCACAAGCATCTCCGGTGGGGGCTTTGATGCATGGTACCACTCTGGCCTCCTGGGAGCCAATGTGCCTTGGTACAGCTACGCTCCCTTCCGGCTGCCGGAGGTCGCTCTCGGCATGCTCGTGCCATACTTTGCTGCCGAGGACTTTCCAAACCTCGTCACGGCCGCGGACGTGCTCGCGGCGCTGGTGGTCATGTTCATGTTTATTCCACAGACACAGTTCATGTATCTTTGCACAGACATGAACCTGCAATGCCCCGTGACTGCCTGGATCATCTGGGGCTTGTGCTTCGGGCCTCGCGAAAGCCTGCTGGGGCAGCTTCTCAGTTCTCAGGTTCTCTTGCATCTCGGACAGCTCAGCTATGGCTTCTATGTGTTTCAGCAGCCAGTGCTGAGAATGGTGGGCTTGTTCCACCCATCCTCAAATCACGACAAAAGCTTCATGGAATGCCGCTACGAGAGCTGCATTGGGCACCAGGCTTCCTCAGACCACGGCAACCTGATCCTGGCCTTGGCTGTCTTGCTTCTCCTAGGTTGGATGTCCCGCCATGTCGTGGACGAGCCCAGCACGTGGCTCAATTTCTAGTTCTTAGCAGAGATTTGAGGGAATCAGGTGCCCTTAACCCTAAACCTTGAAGCCTATAAAGCCCAAACCGTAAACCCTACACCCCATAAGAACAAGAAAGGTGGTTGGCCCAGAAACTCCTCGGAGTTGGCCCGGGCTCTGAGCCTGCGCCTGCCTTCCAGAGGAGGTGGCTGCAGGCTGCAGACGTGATTAGGAGCCGACCTGAGGGTTTAGGGTTTGAAGGTTTGGGGTTTTAAGGCTTGAAGGTTTGGGGATTTAAGGCTTGGGGGTCTAGGGTTTCAGGCTCAGGGTCTAGAGTCTAGGGTTTCAAGCTTTAGGGTTCAGGGTTCGGAGTTTAGGGTTCTAAGGATGAGGGTAGGGCTTTATCATCCCTGCATGCAAAAAACTAAGGTTCAGGGTTAAGGCTTATGTGACTTATGTGTCTAGGGCTTAGGGAAATCATGTGCCCCTTGAAGGAGTCCAACGGAAACTACCCTCCCCTGCATCTTTGAATATCAATGGCCCTACATGCGTCTAAGCCCTAAAGCCTGAGCGTTAAGCTGAAAAAGCGCTCAACCCTATATTAGGAGCCTGGTGCAGATGATCGTCTACGCCTGGCCAATCACACTCTCCTTGGACCTGGTGGCCACGTGGCACTTGGGAGCAACCGCCTCCGGTTTCTTCCTGTCATGGGACCAGATTGGCAACGTTCCGAGGGCCTCCTTCGGAATTCTGTTTCATCTTTTGTTTCTGCAAGGCCAAGCAACCTCCAAACCCAAAACCCTGCACCCTGCGCCTTCCACCCTCAGTCCTACACTCTAAACCATTAGGGGGTTTATGGAGAACATAGGTTCTGGGCCTGTTTATTGGTCACTTTCTGGGCGGCGCCTCCTACAACTTCCGTCGCCGCCTAATCATCGTTTGCCCCTTCCTGGCTGGAGGCCTCTCCCTGCTCATGCCGCGCATGCTCCACCTGGCTGGGGCCTGGGGCTTCTTTGCGGGGCTCTGCCTGCGCTTCCTCATCGGACTGCTCCAGGGCAGCTGCATCGTCAACAGCGCCATCACCCGGCTCCTGACCCCCAGGGAGGAGCAGGTGGGCCTCTCAATGTGGGTCAACTTCAGCTGGACAGGGGGTGTTGTGATGGGTGTCGGCTTGCCTTGGGCCATCTCCACAATCTGTAAGTTCTGCGAGATCTCCACTCCGGTCTCGGCCTTGGACCGGTCTTGCGCCTGTGCCATAGCTGCTGAGCTTGGTTCGGAACCAATTTTGAAGTTCTTTGGGCCTTCACTCTAGATTCTATATGACCCTCACATAACTTCTTATAATCCACCGTACAAAGTGCTGATTGTCTCGGGCCTCGCCACCCGAAGTCCACCGCAGGCTTGCGGCTGCCTCTTGATGCTGGTCTCGTGTATGAATGCGGCGAGCTTGCCTCTGAGCCTCGAGGGCCTTCCGACTTTCGATGACTCCGAGGATGCCAGCGAGGCGGCCGAAGGTTTGAAGCCCAGCAAGCCGAGCTCGTGGATGACGCTGACGGGGCTCTTCTGCCAGTTCTTGGGCTCTGTTGGATACACCGGGGTCGAAGTGTCAAGCTCCCTGCTGCTCGAGGTCCAGTTCTCATGGCAGATCGATGCAGTCAGCTTTGGTGTCAGTGTGGTTTACATGATCGCAGCGTTCGGCAGTTTGCTTGTGTTCCAGCTGCGAGAGAATCTACAAATCAGTGACCGCCTACTGATCGTCGCAATGTCCGTCGCAGGCCTTGTTGGCGGTGTGTCCTTCTTCGACTTCATCAACGGCCCCTTTGTGCTCCTCATCGGCAGTGGCATCATCTATCCGTGCCTGATCTGCTGCGTGGGAATCGCCGAGGGACACACTTTCCTCCACGCCAAGGATGGGACATGGCGCTCGATGGAGAACCTTGTGACGCTCTCCTACATGACGGATGCATGGTCGAAGTCCATCTCGCCACCCGTGACGCGAGGAATGCTGGAAGCCTTTGGCCCCAACGTGTTCGCCACATATCAGCTCCTCATCCTCTCATTTCAGTGGTGTGCCCTGGAGAAGGTGTTGCAAGGTTGATCTACTCCCAATATACAGCTTTCATCAGCTTTCTACATGTACATTTTTGTTCGACTACTGCAGCCGCAACGCGCCGCCGTACGGGCGGTGCAGCCATGCGCCGCAGCCACTGATGGTGTTTGCACTGATAGTGTGAAGTCTTACACATGACCCGCTGACTTCGGGCAGAAAGGGCCGAGAAGAAGCATGAGTAGAGGTTCGGGGGGTTCAAAAGGGCAGCAAATTTCGAGTGGCTGTCCGGCGACCCAGGCTACCGGGCGGGGGTCGCTGCCCCTGAATCATCTAGGGCCTTGGAGAACCTGCGGCAACCCTATGCACCGAAAGCCCCCCCAGGTTTAGGGTTTAGGGTTGAACCCCTAAACCGTAAAACCCTACACCCTAAATTAAACCCTAGACCGTTCGTCCGAGGCGCGATTTATCCTGCTCCTCCTACGGGCTGAGAACCGGAAGTTGCTCACCGAGGCAACTGTTCGGGGCTGAGGGTTTAGGGCTTCGGATCTAGGGCTTTATCGAGAACAAGAAGCCCTAGAAAACCCTTGTAGATACCATTTATAGGGATTCTTCGCCTGGAGTGCGGTTGTGGGGTTTGGGAGGCAGAGGGTCGAGTCGTGTATTCATGAGCCTGAAGGGTCCCTTTTCTTTAGCTCAGATTTGGCTTTTCGTGATTTCCGTGGCTTCATGTGCAGCTTGATTCGTGGAGTAGGTGAGAAAGATAAGCCCCTAAACACCCTGAACTCTGAACCCAGTCGACCCTGCACAGTTCCACGGGCCCGCAGGCCCACATGGATGGAAACGTGACCACAGCGGCCTACGCCTACGGCTCAGTGATCCCTGCAGCCTCGAAGCCCTGAAAGGCAGGCCTCCTGTGCTGCAAAGGGACCGTGAGTTAGACCAGCTTGGGTTCGGGCTCGGACCCCCAAACCATACTTGAAAGTTTCCTTGGTTCTTTCAAAGACAGCTATAGGTAAGATGACATGCTTCAATTCGGGTACTACACCTTGAACTTCAAGGTCCCAACGGCAGTTCTATGCCGTTCCCCTCTCTGAGGACCAGTTCAAGCTGGAGATGGCCGGCAAGTCCTGCATGGCATGGGGCCCAGTTCTTCAGTTCTTCAGGCTCCGGCCTCGGTTCCGCGATTCACGAAGTGGGAATTGAGGCTTGGGGCTTGAATGGCTTTCAAAAGCCACTGAAGACCTCAAACTCCATCTTTTGCAGGTACATGGCTTTGCGCCTTTGCTCAGCAACCTCTGCAAGTCAATCGCGATTGATGAGGACGATGAGGACTCGTCAACGTCCCACACTTGCCTTTACATAGATGATGCTGACGAGTCCTTACTCGCCCGGTGCAGCCAGCCTGTGCATTCGCAGCACCTGCTGTTTTGCGCAAACCTGCACGCAAGCGATTGTCGTGGAGAACACGTGCAAAATGCAAAGTTGCAATTGCCTGGGTTTTGGGATCGTCAAGAATACGTCTCAAAGGAACTGGCGCATAGTTTTTGCCAAGCGCGTAATGGTGCTGGACCCCGTAGGGGCGTCTGATCTATGGCATGGTAGCACAGCCATGCAGCCCCGTGCTCGTGAACGCCTGTTGATCTTAATGGGGGTGCCCCTACAACGGAAGGTTAGTTGGCCTGTGCCGGAACATCTCACAACTTCCAGGGCATGCATTCTCGGCCTGCGTTCCTGGCGTTGCAGTTTCTAATCTTGACGTCGCGTTCAAAGCCCGGATCGAGGGCCCTGCGCATCCCAATGCAGGACGAGGAGGATGGTGAGTCGGAAAACAAGCCGCAGTGGAAGAAGGCCATGCAGGTTTGCTAGGATTGGGCGTCGAGGCAGAGTGTCGAGGCCACAGCATTGCATGTCCGGTGGTGTGGTAGGATGCATGTGCTTTTGTCATCCCGCAGCCATTGCTGGACAGCTTGTGGGTTCGCCGAGCTGCCCTTGCTTGGTGCTACTCAGCGTGAAGTTTCGACAGTATGCCTGCAGACATAGTGACCGCTCTAGCTCTCTCCCTCTCTCCCCATCTCCCTCTCTCCCTCTCTGCCCCCTCTCTCCCTCTCTCCCTCTTCTCTTCCCCCCTTCTCTCCCTCTTCGCTCCCTCTTCTCTCCCTCTTCGCTCCCTCTTCTCTCCCTCTTCTCTCCCTCTTCTCTCCCTCTCTCCCTCTCTCTCTCTCGCTCGCTTGCGGTCTCTGTGAGGCAATGGACGGTGATGGAGATGGTGGCGGGGTTATGGCTGATGTAAAGGCGGCCGAGTTCTTGATGGTCATGGTGCACTACAGCTGGATCACGGTGCTGGTCCTCTGCCTGCTGGGACTCGGATCCTACATGTCCTACAAAAGGCGGCCGACCAACCGCAGGACTTGGGGGGAGCATGTCGTCTTATCCAGGACCCAAAATAACAGCACCGCATCTGACACTCTGCATGCCGTAAGGAGCTTGGGGGCAGATAGTTAGGATCCACTTCCCTGAAGCCCCGAAATTCACATTCCCCCACAGGCATGGAACCCTAAGTCCTAGCATGCAAATGAAAAAGCTACTGGTGCAGGCTCAGGGAGCACGGTGGCCACGAGACCGTGCGGCACACGCCTGGGCTCTTGGCAAACGGCGGCTATCCTTTCATACTTCGGGGGGTCCTCGGCACCACCTTCTTCATGCCCGCTTCTCAGAGCTGTGGATATATATATGTATGTGTACATATGTATGTATGTATGTATGTATGTATGTATGTATGTATGTAGGTATGTAGGTATGTAGGTATGTAGGTATGTGGGTATGTAGGTATGTAGGTATGTAGGTATGTAGGTATGTAGGGATGTGTGTATGTCTGTAGGTATGTGGGTATGCATGTGTGTTTTTCGTGACTTTGACTTTGCTGCCTTTGATGTGGACTGCGAGGCCACTGAGATGGCGTGTCCCAAAACTTTAGGTAAAACGGTGTGCTTGGCTGGTCGGCCCACCATCTAGGTAATCATCGGTCCGCGGCAAAGTGGAGGCTTGAGAGCGAAAGGCTTGTCGAAGGAGATCAAGCTCTGCGCAGATACCGCGCCCGCTTGACAAGGTGATATTGCACGTTCGCAACTGTGTGGAAGAATCGCGGGGACATGCTGCAATAGGCCTCGGGGCATAATGACTGGCCGGACAGAGGACCTGATGTCTGTGGGCCTGCTGGGTGGTGAAGTGCTTAAGCCTTGTGTCGTACCAACGACGCTGGTAGGCATCCGAGACTGGGCGAGATGATGTGATTCGTGTGCTCGTCGGGGTGGTCGGGGGCCGAAGTCTCGAAGTCGCGGGCAGCGCACTGAACAGCAAGATTCACTTGCTGGACCTACCAGTAAGGTTGCTCCTGTTACCCGGGCAGGTCTCCTGCAGCAGTTCCTGGATGTGCCTGGACGTCAGGTAGGTATCAGAGCCAAGGAGGCCCATTGTGATATTTGTGTATAGAGATATTCACACTCGGAGCAGGGGTCTTGCCCTGCGCGACCGGCGAGACGCGTTGCCTTGGTACAGCCTGGCCCCGTTCAAGACATGTCACAAGAACTTGGTTGCGCGGGTTGTCTGCAGGGCCCGGACTACCCGATTCCTTCCCTGGGACCGTCTGCCGAACTGTTCTGGGCCCTTGTTCCAGCCTTGCGGAACGAGATCGCTGTACCCAACGTGTTTTCCATAGAGCACCACAACGTTCCCATTATTGCGTTACATCAGTCAGCCGATGCCTGTGCCAGGGGCCGACACTATAAGTGCGTGCTAAGCACGCACGCGTGTTTAGCACATCTACACACATATTATGTGTGTGTACGTATGTATGTATGTACGAATGTATGTATGTATGTATGTATGTATAGATAGATAGATAGATGTATATGTATATGGTTGCCCCCGCCCAGGATCTAGGGTTTCCTTGTTTCATGATCAAACCCCACGTAACTACCGACAAAAATGACATGCTGAGCATACACACATATATACACACACATATACGTATGTATGCATGGGATGGTCGCGAAAGTGAACTCCATCGGAGCTCAAGCGGTCGTTTTGGTTCGCAAGTGACTCGACTCCCCCGATGCCCGATGGGTTGATGTTTTGGACTCTGCAGGCCCGATAAGCCAAAATGTCGGGCCCGCGTCTCCCTTTCTTGAGACTTAGGTCACGAGTCGGCCTTTAATGCTCCGAAAGGTTCCGGAGATTCAGTTTCGTCCGAAACCCCCCAAATCCCAATGCTCGCTTTCGTCAGAGGGCCTCTCACGTTAAGGCCCATGCCAAGTAAAAGATACTTGAAGCTGTTTGTCACTAGAGCCCATCTGGCAGGCTTGCCGTGCTGCCGTTGTTCCTGATCGTTTGCGCTACTGTGTTGGGTCTGATGCTAGCTGCCGTGGAAGAGTGGGAGGCGGGAATTGGGAGCCCTGGCTCGGCATTGTGCAATTCATTGCCGCTCTGAGCTGATTGATGCGTTTGAGCTGTCTGGAATCCTTGCATTGGCTGAGGGCGGAGTATCTCCTCTCCAATGTCCTCGGCATGACTGCGCCCCTGACGAACGTCGTTCCAGAGGACACCTTTGGCATTCACTTTGCGATCATACTGAACATGCCCCTCGTCATTCCAAAGTGGGCGATGGTTGCTTTCGCCAGTGTTGCTTTGATTTCTCCGAATTCGAAGCTCCAGGTATGCTGTCGTCGTGGTCACGACAGCCATGGGCCTGGTGGCAAACATGTCACTCATGCAGGCCATCAGTGCAAAGGTCCCGCAGACTGCGTGCGGTTTCGTTGCCTTCCTGCTGCTGGTTGCCGGAGCCTCATTATCCTCATTGAGGGAAGCACAGAATCGTTGTACCTGCACCTGTGCGTGGACCCTGCAGCAATTTGACTGTAGGACACAAGGCATCATCTGCAGATTCAGTCCCCTTCCCCTAAAGCCCCGACCTCGTTGTCGCCATACCTTGTATGCTAGACTATGTTTGGAAACTTAGGTGCCCCTCATCATGTTCCTCACCACTTGGATTATCGGCTGCGTCATTGCGCTGGTTGAAGGCTGGTCACCTTCGGAAGGCTGCCTGTGAAGATGTTCAGCATTCTTCTGTTGCGTAGCAAGTAGAGAAATCGCCGCATCGCAACAGAGTAGTCGTATGGGTACTAGGAATCATGTGCATTAGTCAGCTTTGGCCTGTCAACCTCCTCGAACACATGCGCAGATGTGCCCCTTTAAGGATTCACTGAACTTGTCTGCCTCTTGCATCCCTTACTTGCCCGTCAATAGGCTCCGACTTGGTTGGTATCATTCGGGTGCCCCTTTGGCCACCTTACCTGACTTCTTTTTCGGTTCAGGGTGTTAGGGCTTTAAGGGCTTAAAGTACTTGAAAGAGTCCAGCAATTACCATACTCCAGGCCAAGTTGGCACTTGGCACAGATGAAACTGCGGATGTGCCCAGGCTACTACTTCATGGCAGCTTCAATGGCGAGCCTCGCCAACCCAGTAACGAACCTGGAGCCGGAGACGGCCTCCTGGATGGAGCCTGAAGCCTTTGGCTGCGCAAAATTACTCTCGAACATCCCCACCCTCTCCTGGGGTTGGGCACTTGTGCAGGGACACTCAGGGGTGGAGCACACTATGATGTTGGGCACGAAAGAGACACTCTGGGGTTGGGCACTCCAGGGAACACTTTGGGGTTGGACGCTCCAGGGTTTGGGCACTCCCATTTCAGGAACACACTGGGGTTGGGCACCCTGGGGTTGGGCGAGGAGTGGGACGACTGAGGCTTTTGGCGCCTTCTTTGAGTGCCTCTGCCTGTCGGCTGAGCTTTGTGACTTGCTGCGAATAGCCTTGGGTCGGGGCCCGTGAGCGAATCACAAGTTCAGGCAAGAGATACTTGCAGACTCAGATACTTAGCCAGCACGTTCCCTGAATTCCCCTGAGCCTCAGAGGTGAGTGCTATGTATGTTGGTGACTCTGAGAGCAAGGGAAGACAGTGTGGACAACCTTCTTTGCGTCACAGATGCCAGGTCTGGGAGGATGCATCCTGGGTCTCGTCGCCTCGCATCCGGTCACTACGCGACTTTGCGACTTCTTCGAAGGCACGTCGAGGCTTTCCCACTCCCAATCGCAGATCGGCCTGTCAGCCTACACACTGGAAGAGCTCACAGCCAAGCTAGCGGAGATGAGCAAGGTCCTCGACCAAGTCCCGGATGAAGAGGCTGGTCCCTTTCAGGATGAGGTTGCGCAGCTGAAAGCCCAGCTGAGCGCCGGGGATGCTTCCGACTGCATCGGGCAGCTGACATCGGAGGTTTTCAAATTAGAGGCGCGCATCCAAATCTCTTCGAGTTCCAAGGACGATAGAGACACCAAGGACCCGTACCGGGAGCTTGCGGAACTCCGAGCCAGAATAGCAGAGCTAGAGGAGCAGGTCAAGCAGCCAGCGGAAGTTCAGATTAATGAGATCGACTGAGCAGCTGCAAGCCAGAGGCATGCAAGAATTTCCATGCAGTGGCTCAATGGCCACGGGCCTGTTGTGGGATGATATCCCAAAAAAAGTAGAAGTGTTAAGCCTGAAGTAAGCCTGAAAGGGCTTAGAGGCTTCGCGAGCCATCAGCCCCAAGGGCAGAGAATGCTCGGATTTGGTCTTTTTGGGATCCTACCAACTCTTACCGGCAGAAGCCGGAGAGTGTCGTTAATGATGTTGGCACTTAGCAGGCACTTGGGTCTCTGCACCCAGATGGGCTGGACAAAAGTAGGCCCCGGAGTTTCGGTAGCTTTCGGAACCGAAGACCGTACCAATCATACAACACCTTCTGTTGAAAGCCACAGGTGGCCTTGCCACTACACAGAAAAATCTGCCCTTGGAACATCAGAGAGTCAACAGGATGAGCCATTCAGACAACGCCCCCGCAACTTTAACCAGCAAAGCCCCATGGCATGAATTAGGGTGAAGCCGAAGGAGCTCATAGAATCCTCAGGAAGCCCTGTGTGGCCAGGATTTCGAGCGTGGTTGCGGCTTGGAAGTTTACGAGGTGGGACAGTTCGGCATTGCACGGACTTGTTCAGAAAGTCTTCGCCCCATCAGCCGCGCGCTAGCCCGCAGCCCCGGAGGTGGAGCTCAGCCCCACATACTCGCAGAGAGATGCCACCTTCATTGAGGCCGGGGGCAAGTTGCTTTTTCCTCCCAGAGCTTGTTTCAGTCCGGTGCAGTATATTACACATAGTTGCACATACAGATCTACCCGCCTACACACACATATATCATATATATATATATATATATATATATACATAATATACATACTATATGTCAGTCATGCAAACTATATGCTTGTAGCGTAGTTTGTAGGGGTCCTAGGGCCATTGGGTCTCTGGCAGGTTGTTGTCGATATCATCGAGCAGACGGGTGGCTTGGTGTACCTGGTCGGTGGCGACCTCAGACCAGCTCTAGGTTTCCTAAGCCCCTAAACCCTACACCCTAAACCCTAAACCCTAAACCCTAAACTCCTAGCGAGAGCCGAAAAAGCCCCAAAAGCAGGGAGTCTGCCCCGTCATATGGGCCACCTCTTTTGCCAAGGTTTGGTCGAAGCTCGGCAAGACTCCAAGTGCGCCACCCTACATTCGGGGGACCTTTTTTCCAAGAATTTGCAAAGTTCCGCAGTGTCCCTCCATGCGCACGGGACGGCTCTCTGCCAGGAAGGTGCTCATCAACCCAGGTCCGAACTACAAGATCAAGCAGGCCCGGTGGTCACGGCCCCCCCTTTCCTGATTAGTCAGGGCGTCACCGTGCATTATCTTCCTGAGATTTCCTCAGCACTTGCGCTTCCCGTCCTGCTTTTTGAGTCTTAGGGTTTGGGTTTTTGGGGGGTGGGGGTGGGGTGGGTGAGGGAGTGGGTGTGTGGGTGTGTGGGTGGGTGTGTGGGTGGAGTGAGGGTCAAGCCAGGAAATGTACCATGAGTCACGCCGCCTGAGTCGAAAACAGAGAAGCCCTGAGTCGAAAACGCCTTGAACCCCCGAGTCGAAAACCAGCAAAACCCCTCCACAGAAAATGCCTAAGGCCAACGACCCCCGCTTCGCAACACGATGTTCGCACGATTCAATATGAAGCGCGGGGTAGAGGGGAGTTGGGGGGCGGGGCGGGGGATGCAGCGCTCCCCCGTCAGCAAAACATCTTCACAGGTAAACCTTTTTCAGCTTGCACAGGCCAAGAATATCTAAAAAGTGCAAGCACAACGTTCGCATGACGGGCTGCGCCCTCAAGTGCATAGTCTTGCATCATCAAAAGATCAGGGCTCCCCCCCATGGTTCCTTTCTTGTGGTGTGGTCGTGGTGTGGTTGGGTGTTTGGGGTTCGGGTTTAGGGTTTAAGGTTCGGGTTTAGGGTTTAAGGTTTAGGGTTTAAGGTTTAGGGTTCAGCCCCCCCCCCCCCCCCCCCGCCCCCCCCCCCCGCCCCCCTCCCCTGCTGTGGTGTGATTGGGGGTTTAGGGTGGTGTGGTTGGGGGTTGGGGTTAGCTAGTGTTTGGGGTTGAATTTAAGGTTTAAGATTTAGTTTCCTCCCCCCCCCCCCCCTCCCTGTGATGTGGTTGGGGGCTTGGGGTTGGGGCGGTTAGGTTTAGGGTTTAGGGTGTTCAGGTTTAAGGTCTAGGGTTCAGGGGAGGGACGAGGGATACCATTGTGTGTGTCGGGGGGGGGGGGTTGTGGCGAGCCGAGAGCCAGTATTTTTTTTCAGTTGCGAACACCTTACTGCAAGTTCCCATACAAGTCCTCGTCATGGGCTGATGATCCTTTCAAAGCAGCTGAACCCATTTGCAACCACAATGCTCGCATTGCGGGTCTCTTCCTTCATGGAATATGCATGGGCTAAAGGTACATGTGCAAGCGGCGGGTTGAGGGCCAGGTTGAGGGTTTTGAATGGTCTAGCGCATTTGGCTGCATTCCGTTTTCTGAGTCGCTGTCCTGCTTTCAGACTCGTGCCCGTGCCGTTTTCGGACTCACGCCGGCCTGTTTTCTGACTTGGTCTTTATCTTTTTCTGACTCGGTCCATCCGGTTTTCGACTCGTTTTCCCGACACGACCCTCAGCCGTGGAGTGAGGGTCAGGGGGCGGAGGTGGGCGCGGGCGGATGCACATAGAGTTGACTATAGAGGCTTCAGAGGTTTTTGGAGACTGTAGGGCTCACTGTCTGTTTTGCATCGGTCGTGAAGCAATCCACCCTAAGCCCTAAAACCACCCTGGCAAGGCACTGCCCGGCTTCAAGATCATGGGCATCTTCCTCGCCTCGGATCGTGAGGCCTAGGGACCTAGAGCAGAAGCTTTAGCGACTTTAGAGTTCAGGGGGTCATTAGGGTTTTTCCAGCCTAGGGCTGTTTAGGGTTCCAAGGTTCTACTACATTGGGAGAGGCTGAGGTTCTGGGAGGAGCAGAGTATTGAGAGCCAAGCTTGTCCTATCTCGCTCTGCGACGTGCTTATCTGCAGGCCATGCTTGCCTGGCAGATTCCCACTTGGCTAGCCCTTGAAAAGACTTTGTACCAAGTAGTCATCGTCTTACTGGTGTGATGGGGTAAGGGAGGGCAGCCGTGCTCAGGCCAACTAAGTGCTTTGCAGACTTGCCTCGCATGCCCTGCGTGGATTGGGAGGCAATCATGCAGTGTGATGTTGGCATGGTGTTCCTTGGACGGCGGGAGCGAGTATCCATGGACGAGGTCCGCTTCCTGTTTGTGGTATCAAGTGGCCCCACTGTCCCGCCTGAGCACAGAGTGTGCAGATGCAGGCCCCGGGCGACCAAGACGACGAGGAGGGTCTCGCGCTTGGCGTCTCCTTGCCTGCGAAAAGTTCGGTAAAACCCCATTTCGATCTGGAGCAAGCCTCTGAAAGTTACCAGGACCAGAGCCCTTGTCCGAAAGAAGTATGGAGTGATGCACCCGATGCGTGCTGCTTGGACAAGGCGAGCCGCCGAAGATCGTCCAGAAGGCCCAGCTGCATAGGGCTTTGCGAAGCAACGGCGCCGAAGCTTCGAAAGAACGAACTTGCTCAGGAGGAGGAAGTTCCGGAACTCGCGCACGTGAGCATGAAGCCGGAGCACAAGGCCGGGTTTGGTATGAACCAAAAGGGGCTTATAGAGCCTGAAGCTTCCCAAACCCACAGAACTCAAAGAGGCCTCTACAGCAGCCTAAAGCCGCAAGCTGCTCGAGGCGGCCGCCATCAACTTGGCGAGGGTCTCTCGGAGGTGGGAGAGCAAACGCTGAGGGTGCGGTCGCTCAAGGGTTGGAGGTCATGTAAGATCGTTTTGCGCTGGGAAGCCAGGGCCTGTAACCCTGTAACCCTGTCACTCCTAAACCCTAAACCCTAAACTCCCTAGAGATAAAAGCTTCAGGTCTCCGGAAACCAGAAACTCGAAACCCAACATCCAAGCAAGCTCTCGATCCTCAAAAGCTTGGGGGCCAAAGGCACCAGAGATCGCTGAAGCCGATGCGGCCTCCCTTGAAGCGGCTAGCTGCGCCTCGAATTCTTTTCAGGGTCTTGGATCCGGGTGTCGCGAGGTGTCGATTCAGGTTCAGGATCAGGCTGTGGAAGGCCAAGTGATGTGAGGAGTGGCATGTTAGAACCTTGGAATGAGCCTTTCCCCCCCCCCCCCCCTTATTCTCTGTCAGCAGTCCCAGTCAAAACCCTCTTGCGTGCTGGGGGCCCAGTGTTCTTCAAGACTTCGTGGTGCACAATGTCCTCTGAGGTTGGTGGCCACATCCTTATCCTGGCAGTGGGCACAGAGACCACCGAGGCATGGATGCCTTGGCCAGCAAGGTCCAGCAAAACTCAAACTGAAGCCGCTCTGCACCCGAACCTCTAGGCCTCAAGCTTCAAACCCGAAGCCCCTGCACCCTAGACCTTGAAACCGCAAACCCTGAAAGTTGGAGTCGTTGTGGGTCGTGGTCTGCAGGACCTACGACTGGGCATCGAGCACTTTGTCAAGACGCTTGGGCTGCAACCGTAGCACACTGAACTGGAGCCTCAGTTTAACTCTGTCTGTGGGACGGGACTTCCCGTGCCAGTGGACGAAGCCTTCCGTGTGTAGATTTCTGTGGGGGCGAGAGGGGGGAGTGGCAAGGGAGTTTGTCAATAACGGAGTTTGCATACTTAGTAGTGAGAATGCAAGCGTGGGGGCACTCTTCGTTTCAACATCTGACCCCCGGATGGAAGCCTCAAACACATTCATCCAGATACATGAAGCAAGCCCTTGAATCAAACATCTTGGAACGCACATTGGAACGCATTGTTCGTGACAGGCCCCTGCGTCAAAGCGTCCTCAGCGCAGAGGACATCATCCCAGTCGTTGTATTGTCGGCCATGGCCTCAGCCAATATCGAGGAGGGGGTTGTTTTAACTTAAGGGTCTCTTTTGGGGTACAGAAGGCACCTACAATCAAGCAACCCAGCTGTTCACGTCGACAGCACGTCCTTCTTTTGAATGCCTCCCTCGCAAGCCATGTTAAGGCGATGCAGCCAAGAGACTGGTTCAACGTGGAGACCAGTGAGCAGGCAAAGAGACACCAATCGGGAAGGCTTCTGCGTCTCCCATCTCGTAGTTTCAAGATGCCCAGAGGCCAAAGAAGTCTAATCCTTACGCTTGAACACCGTACCTTTAATGCCCGAAGCCTCGCCCCCCTCACTCGAACACCAGGAGCCAGAAGTGCGAACGCGTCCAGCCAGACCCCAAAAAATTGCCCCTAAAGTTCCAAAAGCCGCCGAATCCCCAACATCCTAAAGGCGTTAAAGCCCCCAACGTTGAGGGGGTTTCCATTAATGTCAGGTCTACTTCCTCCAGGGCTCCCCGACATCCATGCTGGACTTGCAGCGGGTGAACTTCACAGGCATGTCTCAGGTTAGGGTCGCCTCCCCTTGCACATCCTAAGCCTGGGTTGGCGCCGGGGTGTTACGGCGTCGGGGTTTTTGCGTGCTTAGGGCTTGACTTTGGGGCATTATGGGTTCGGGGTCCAATGCTTGAAGAGCTTGTGGATTTCGGCCGGTTGTTTAGGGACATCACACAGCAGGGCACTGATCCTTAGCATCTTAGCAGCCCGTATGCAATATCCCTAAAGCCCCTGAAGCCGCTGAGTCCCCGAGCAGGTGCATCGGCAATCTTTATCACGCACGGCGGCGCGGGCCGTCATGACGTCGAGAACAAGGAGCTTTGTTCACACTTGTGTGGCATGTCCTTGGATTTTGCAGTGTCTCGATGGCAGCTGTTTCAGAGTGTGCTGATGCATCTGCGCCCTGCGTCTCGACACTATCTCTTCGTCCATCCCCCTAATCCTACACTGTCCTACACCCTATATCCCGAGCTTCAAGCTGCTGCTCTCGGTCCGGCTCTCGACCCGATTCACCTAGTTCATAGCGGTCACAAGGAGAGCTGGACAGTTGACTTCGAGGCTCTTGCCATGTTCCGGCAGGGTTTAGGGCGCCGAAGTGGGGCCTTCCCGATGATGGGGCACGACCAAAGGGTGCCCCCTGATGTTTTTTGGTGTTAGTATGTTCTTTCACTAGTGTGTAGTTGCATGATGATGTTCTCCGGTTAAACGACGGTCATCTTGTTATCATCTCTTGTCATTATACCATTGCTATTCTAGGGTCATATGTTGATACATACAGGTATTGTTACATTACATTGCTGTATTCTTATGGCTTAGATGGTTATATTGTCGATCTTTTTCTCCTTCCAGGAGTATGCGAATGTAGGGCAACCCGCACTTTGAGGATATACCCAGTGGGGTTGAGAGCGCTGCCGGCGCTTTGCATTCGGCCTTAGAGCCCAGGTTTGGACTCTTGTGCTGTTGGGGCCACTGAGTGTTAAGGTTAATTAGGGTCGAGGGGTTCCGCTGAACCCCAAGCCCCAAACAACCCTACGCCCTGAGCAACCCTCTGAACCCTAAACCCTAAGTAACCCTAAACCCTAAATCCTAAACCCTAAGCCCTACACCCTAAACCCTAAACCCTCATTCTCAGGGTTTCCGAAAGTCGCTGTCAAGGTGATCTGTTGTACCCGGCTCGTGGAGTCCCAGCTGCCGATCGGCGCCGGGAGCTGAAGACAGCCCTGGAGGAAACCTGAAGTTAGTTTATCTATCTAAAAAAGACTTTTTTGGTTGGTTTTCATGTTGTTTTTTTGGGTGGGGAGGGGGGGGGGAGGGGTGTGCTTCATCATTTTGATTTTGTCAGGTAGGGTTCATAGGGCTCCAAGCTCCGCCCTGAACCTTGAAGCCTCAACCCTGTACCCTGAAAGCCCTGGGCTTGACACAATTTTGCCGCCCCCTAAACCTACGAAGTTACGAAGCCTTGAAGTTAAGCACTAAGCCGCTCCGAGTCCCACACGCTGGTCTTGTCCGACATCGTCGTGGACTCCAACCATCCCTTCTTGCCGCTGCCCGCTACCAAGATGGAGGGGTTCCTTGCTTGACAGGCCCGACTTAGGTGTGGGAAGGTGTCGTTTGGCGTTTTAGGTTTAGGGCTTAGGAGAGGGTAGAGTTTAGGGGTCAAAGAACCGACAGATCCCACAGCCGGTTTGCCAGCTCCAGTACTTCTGGTACATGTAAAGTCCTCTGGCCTGGGCGCGCAAGAAAGCATAGAAGGCTTCATGAAGTGCTCCCACAAAATAGCTTTCAGTCGCTTAATGGCTCTTGCTTCCATCTTCTGGGGGCCTCCAGTTGCCTGAAAACGTTTGACATCTGACATGGTGTCTGCAGCTGTTTCGCCCGCTAGGCAAGAGGAAGATCTTTTTCAGCGCAGGCGCTCCGAAGCCATGTCCATCCTTCCTCCTCTTGTTGCAGCGGCAGGTGGAGGCGTTCCTGAGCTCCTTTGGAAATCGAGCCTCCGCCGGTCGAGTTTAGGGTTGCGGGACTTTGAGGGTTTCAGGGCGTCATCTCTTTAGCGACACTGTCCACGCAGATGTTGCACCGGTCTAGGATTCAAGCTGAAGGCGTAACTACAATGCCGAAAGAAGAGGCTGCGTTTTCCTCTCAGCCGGAAAACATGCAAGGATGCCGGAGGCTCCACCTTTCACGGCGCTGCTTGGGTCAATCTTCCTCTACAACACACCGCACATGGTGCGAGCGTACTTCATGACAAAGGGTGCTGGAGGCCTGGCCAAGATCAAGAATGAGAACCCCAGAGGTCAGAAGGAAGAGCTGTCGAAACACCCAGTCTACGGCGAAGCGATCGTGAGGGCAGAGGCAGCGCATCAAAACGGCTTGGAGTCCTTCCCTGTGTTTGCAGCTGGTGTGATTGGGGCCACTGCCATGGGGGTCGACAAGGCGACAGTGGGCAAGCTTGCAAGCTTCCACCTCTTGTGCCGGGTCGCCTTCAATGTCCTCTACATCGGATTCAACACGCCCGGCCCGGCGCTGGGCCGATCTGCCGTTTGGGCCCTGTCACTCCTTAGCTCCTGCCACTTGATTGCCCTATCTGCTTTGGCCGCAAAATGAGTTTAAATGAGTCCGAATAGGACCGGCTGCCAGATTACAGCAAACGCATCTGCCTGGCCTCCACGATGTTCGACTAGATCTACAAATCGCTTCGCTGCGGCAGTTTCAAAGCAGCCGTGTGCGAGGGATTGCCTAAGAAGACCTCGTCTCTGTACCGTATACTGGACAATCTTTCTTGAGACAGGAGCTATTGTGACAGGACCTTCATCCCGCAGCATTTCTCGCTCGAAAGAGATCTCCCAAGCCTGAGCCAAGCATCTTTGGCGCATACAAAATGTCAGGCCTCAGAAGATGTAAAATCTTCCACGCCACGAGACCATCAGGAGCACTTGGTGGATGTTTCTTACATATGTGTTGTATGCAGCTGGCGTGTTTACCCTGCAAAAGCCCCGAAAAGCCTAAACCTCACAGAAACCCCGTTCCTTTCAACCTTCGAGGGTTGCTGCCTCGTCCTGTTCGCTGCCATGCCACGCGCTCCCGACAAGAACCCCGTGCTTCAAGAGATCCGCAAGGCCTTCGACCAGCCAAGCCTTCGAAGTCCAAAGCCCCAAGCTCTCAGCTCACTAGTTCTTAGTAGGGAATTGAGTATTCTCTACTCTGAACTAGCAAGTAAGGCTGTAACCCCTCCAACCCTGGCCCAAAACTGTGCTAGTGTTGTAGGCAGCTTGGATTCGCCAAAGGGTTCGGGGTTTAGGGCTCGGGCGGCTTGTACAGCTTAAAGGAGGATGGCAGAACCTGCTGAAAGGCAGTGGGTTAGGCTTTGGGGTTTAGGGTCTTTAAGGGCTTGAATTCGTGATAGGGTGCCGGTTTGGGTAAAAAAGGGAGCAGACACAAACAGCACCAACCGGAACGAAAAACTTTGACTGGCGTTCCAAACCGCATCGGCAGCAAAAAGACCGAAAAGCGTATGAGCTGTGATGCTTCGTGGACTCCAAAGCCCGAAGCCCAAGCCCCCCCAAACCCTAAATCCTAAACCCTAATCCTAAACCCTAGGGTTTAAACCCTAAACCCCCAACAAGTCCCTAGGAAGTCTGGGCCCTGACTCAGACAAGTGCTGCGCTTGGCAGGCACAGGCTGGCAGTGGCTACAAGCAGCCTCTGAAGGACCCGGTTTTGGGGCTTTTTGAGGGGCTTAGGTTCGGGTTGATGACTCCAGAGGTTTGGGGTGTTGAGGGGTTCAGGGGTTAGGGTTTCGGACGGGCAAAAGAGTTGGCTCCCTTGTCACGCGGAGGAGATTCGAAACGGCCGGAAGACGAGCCACTGGATTTGGTGGGTCTGGCCCAGTTTGGACCCAGTGCGGAAGACCTCACGGCCACAGTACTCCCTCCGAAACCTGGCGGATGTCCAGGCCTTCCTATCGGATCCTGGCCTGCGGAAGAACCTCTACGAAATCACTGAGGTGGCCTTGAACCACCTTCAGAAAGGCGTTCCTGCTGGAACCTTGTTCGGCTCCCGGACCGACGTGGAAAAGTTTGGAGAGACGGCCACCTGCTTCGCGCTGGCATCGCTGGAGGCGCGTGATCTGCAGCTGGCGGAGCTGATGATGTCTTGTCTGGAAGCGCTTGGGGGTCTGCACAAGGAGACAGTGAAGTACTTGGTCTCTGAAGGCGTGTCCATCGCTTCACACTCCTCTGATATTGACCTGGACTCCCTGCGCGATGCGCTCGCAAGGTTGCAGGAAACAACCCCCAGTTCCGATCCAGAGCGCGCCGAAGCTGGCGCCGAAGCTGGCGCCGAAGAAGCCGCTGAGCCAGCTGCAGAGCTCCCCGAAGCTGCAGCCTGACGGAATAAAGATCCTTTGAACCTTTGGTGGTCGCGCTCGGCTTCCAGCTGCCCCACCGCAAGAGTTCTCACAGCCACGCGGAGTACGCCATCTGTTCGAAGGCCCGGTGGCTTGTACAATTGTGCAAGTACAGCACGGACGAGGCAGCACCGCAAGGCCCGCGAGAACCTCCGGAGATGTGCCAGAAGTCTCGGATGTCGCGTGAGAGCGGCCTCGGAGTCGCCTCCGGAAAAAAGAAAGCAGGCGATCGGGTCATTGAAGGTCCATTTGGCAAGGTGGTCTTCCTATACCTTTCCACTTAATCAGCCCTTCGTATCCTTGATGAAACCCTGAAATCTGCAACCTATCCACGAAGCCTCAAACGGTGAGACCAGGCGACAACAGCCGCTCTTGACTGCTCTTTCCGCGCTGTGGCTTTCGCGCTCAGGCCTGGCTTGGTTGGGGCCGCGCAGACAGCAAAGGAGGCCAAGGGCGGCCAGGCAGGAGCTTGAAGTCGTGGTTTTGGGAGGGGGTTTGGGGGGTAAGGGAGCGGAAGTGAGATGCCAGGAGCCCCAAATCCTAAGCCCTGGAGTCAGGGAGGGGCATTGTCATGTTGCGATTCTGTACTGTAGTGCCTGACAGGATTTTGGGTCTGCCTTCTACAGAGTTGCACTGGAACTAGAGAGCTCTGAGCACACCAGGGATTAGAGTGATTAGAGGGTTGAGTCAGCGGCCAGGGATCCAAGGAAGCCCGTGCGGACCCTACTGCGCACCCTCTGCTTCCATGTTTCCATTTTGTGCCCAAGGGTGCTTGCTCGAAAACTTCTTGGCACAGAACGCAAGTTGGAGCACAATGCCGGCGCGGCATGGCGCAGCTTCAGGTTTTGGAGTCTTCGGGAAACAGGACGCCGCAAAGCGCACGGCTCCCAACAGAGCGTCTCTCTTTCTTTTTCCAAATCTGTGGGGGCGACATCTATGCAAAGTGTCTCTTAGGTACAAAGCTGAAGAAGTTGGAGGAGTATTTCGTTCAGCCGAGGCTGGCCAACCCGGCTTGACGGTGTTTAGCCAATGCAGGCGCTATCCTCAACCTCTGCTTGGATGGCAGAGTTCTGGCTCGAATTGAAGGTGTTGAGAGATTCGGGTCGGTTGAGGGGATTCCGGTCAGATTGAGAGTCGTCAATCCTTCTTTCCCAAACATGGCTTCGAGGGTTTTTGGGGGCCTCAACAACCTCAACGTGCCAAATGTTAAAGCACCGCAACCCGAGCAGAGCTGGATCTTAACACCAGGTTCGCGGCTGGACGCCTCTTCGCAGGAGGGACGACTTTCACTTCCCTGGCAGCTGGGGGCCTCACTGGGGATAGGCTTCTAGGGGGCTGACAGGAGTTGCAGGGAAAAATGTACACGCTTTAATTCATTGTTGGGGATCGTTCTTTGTCGAGTTTGGGAGCTTTCTTTCGGGAGAGTCATACGAGGGCCCTGGAAGGGTGACAAGAAGAGCAAACCAACTAGTTCCAACTTTTCTCGCCCAAGTTACAGAGTTATGGAATTCGGGAACTCTAGCCCAAGCCCAAATTCCTTCTACACACCCAAAGAGGCAAAGCCTTCCAGCCTAGCCCCACTAGAAACCTGAGGTCCTAGACCCCAAACCCCAAACCTTAAGAACCCTAAACAACCTCAACCCTGATCCCGACTTCAGCGCAATTCTCAGGCCAATACCTTCTACAACCCTACTCTGATTGATCTGGCCGGACGCCCATGGAACCGAGCCAGAAAAGTCGGGGGAGACCCTTATTGGGGGGGTTGAAAGTTTAGGCGCTTCAAGGAGGCAGGTGTTTGGGTTTTTTAGGCTGTTTTGTAGGGTTTCGCACAGCCCTTTTCTTTGAAAGTTTCGTCCGCTCTTCCACACTGAAACTTGGCATCCAGGATTCCAGAGGCTGTTGCTCATGAGCCCAGGTGAGCACCATGGTCACGCCACGTCCTCAGAGCGAGTCGGTCATCTCACATTTGTAGGGTTTTTTGGGGCCTGGGGTTCAGGATCTGGTACATAAATCAAAGCCCCTGGTGCCATGATTCCCATCAGAGCTCCATCTTGAGGACTCAGATCAGGATGGTCAAGCTGCCGCATTCCTGGGCCATGACCTCAGCTTGCTTCGGATCAGCTCATGGTTGCAATGCCCTGAGAGGAATGCTATGCATTTGTTGTGCAAAGTGGTTCAAGAGCAGCTGCGCCCTGAAACGCGCTTCCGACACACAAATGCACTCAGGAAGGCAAGTCCTACTTCGAGCTTTTCGACTTCCTTCTGTGGAAAGAGAAGCTCTTGGCGGTTGGCATCTACAGAACAGCCCAGGGCTCAAGAAATCCTCCGACTGTTTGCGCAAGGCAATGTCACCCTGAACCCACAGCTCTACTCCTGAACTTTTCTGACAAGATCATCTTCCGACGGCGCGTGTCGCAAGTTGCAGCTATTGTTCACTGGGCCGAGCCCGTTTTCTTGCGTAGCCACTGCATCCTATCCAAAGTGGTATGGATCCCTACATCAACGAGCGGTGTCAAGCATGGTTGTGCTTCCAAGCACGGCTCTCAAGCTGCTCGTATCGCAGCAGCCCGGGTGGTGAACCAAGCCCCAAAGGACCCCGAAACCCCTCAAATCACTGTCCCAACAGAACCGGTACGACTGAAGGGTTTGCGGATGCCCTCAGGCGGAGGTGAGCCCTGGGGGCCCGGCGCCCCAGCTCCTCCCTGATTGAGAGCCAGGGGCTGGTCGCACAGAAGTTGCCCAGAGGCCGCGCGCAAGAACAATAATCAGAATAACAACAATAGCAATATGAAAAGTACTAAGAGTTATCTCTTCTATTTCTAAGATATAAGTGTAAGAATATGTATGATGAATAGTCATTGCATATAATTGGGGGCCTCTAGCGCGCGATAGACAGCCTTCAACCGGGCCTTGCCAACCTTCCCGGACTCTCCAGAGCTTGTTGAAGCTTGTCCTTATGACCCGAGCGCCTAAGCCCCACATCTCCCCAAGCCTTTCCCCCCTACCCTCCCCCCTACCCTCCCCCCCTCCCCCGTTCCCAAGGCGAGGATGAGGAAGAGGAACGCCCACGCCGTGGCTCGGCTGTCCTGCTCTTCGGGGTCAGGGTGCAGAGTTCGGGGTTCTCGGCTCTGGGGCCTTGCAGCCCAGATGAGGCGATGAGGCCAAGAGCCCCAGAGGCTTGGATTCCCAGATTCCACGGCCTGCAGGCAACAGCGGCCGCCGGCAGAGCGTCGGTGGAATGGCCAGTCGCATCCTGATCTTTGGGAGGGGGGGGGGTTTAGGGTTTAGGGTTTAGGGTTTGGGGTTTGGGGTTTAGGGTTTAGGGGTTAGGGGTTTAGGGTTTAGGGTTCAGGCGTCTTGCGGGTTCATGGATTGAGGGGGTTACAGTCTCTCGAGGCTACGGTTAAGGAGGGATGGGGTTTGCTGCTGTCCAGGTTGGGTTTGGTGCTCAAAAGCCCATTTTCCCACTGAGCGCAACTGGCAGCCAAGTAGGGCATATGGCGGGTTGCTGACGTATGTAACACTAATGATAAATTAACGCATATATATATATAATATGTGTGTTTATGTATATATATATATATATGTAAAGACTCATGATCAGGCCGTCTCGGTGCCAGTCACCAGTTTCCTTCACAAGACCCCAGAGCCCAAGCCAACTCTCTGCCTCCACAAAACCCCGAGCCCGAAACCCAGTCATCGTTCGCCTGGTGCAAACAACCCTCTCGGCTTTCGTTTGTTGCAAGGTGTTGACGAAGCCTACCCTTGGGCCTCAGTAACCCCCCCCCCCCCCCCCCCCCCCCCCACCCCCCCCCCCCCCCCCCTAATCTGCATTCTCTCAGGCCCCGGGCCGCGGAGGAGCCAGCACGGTGGCGATCTAAGGAATCGCATTGAGGGGTTTTCTGTTGAGACGTTGCGGTTTAGGGTTGAGGGTCTGAGGTTTGGGGCATGGGTCGAAGGCAAGCACAAGTCCCAAACTCACGATTCGGGATGCCCATAGGGTCGGTTGCAAAATGAGGGTTTGGGGTTGGGGGTTTGGTGGGTTGGGGTTGTGCTTAGCGCATGGGGCCTCAGCCTTAGGGCCTGAGGCTTGAGGATTACTTAAAAGATCTTAAAAGGATGCCTGAGCCAACCGAAAGCCATGAAAGCAGTTCTCGAAGTTTGTTGGTGCACTCATGGCATTAGAGCAGGCCTGTACACATAGGCTCTCCGTGAGTCTCCCTGAAGCCCTCAAACCCAAAGAAGCCTTGAACTGTCCTCAGGCGGTGACTCTGTGCGCGCATCACGCCTCACAGACTCCAAGGGAGGAGGGCGGAAGACGGTGAGGCTCGACACCCGAAGAGAGAGAGAGAGAGAGAGAGAGGTGTGTTCTTTGCTGTGGAAGGAAGGAAGGTGTGTTCTTTTGAAGAAGAAGAGAGGTGTGGAGAGAGGGAGAGAGGAAGAGATAGACACAGAGATAGAGATAGAGATCGAGATCGAGATAGAGATAGAGATAGAGACAGAGGGATAGACGAAGAGATTGAGAGATAGAGAGAGAGAGAGAGAGAGAGAGAGAGCAGAGTTGCAGATCTAGGCTGCTGGGACCTCAAGTTCCAATCTTTAGAAGGAAAGTGAGGGATGCAGGCGATGCAGGCACCCTAGATTGTCCCTTAAACGAGCCCTCCGTAGATTGAAGGGTTCCTCAATCGGATTCCAGGGTTAAAAGGGAGAAAGAACGTTCAACCAAACCCCAAAGCACCCTCAAAGGTCCCCCCCCCCCCCCAAAAAAAAAAAAAAACAATAAGAAAAACAAAGAAAGATCAAAGCAAAAACCAAAGCCGCTGCCGAAGCGCTGGCACGCTGCTCCCTGTCGCCCTAGCGTTTGTTTCGTGATCCCGTGTGCCTTCCCTTTGCTAGATCGCTGTATTCTTGATGTTTGAGAACACTCTTGGACAATCCAACAGCAGCAACTTACGGGTCGTGTTCGTTCCGGCTTTGGTTGACTCTTGCAGATCTCCAAGAGGCTCAGACAGCAAAGTAGCCAAGTGCAACTTCTGTCGCTAGGGTCAACTTCGTCTACACTGCACCGCCCGGCAAGGAGACCGTGTGGTCCCGAGCTGGGCCTTGAGGTGAGTTTAGGGTTTAGGGTTTAGGGTTTAGGGTTTAGGGTTTAGGGTTTAGGGTTTAGGGTTTAGGGTTTAGGGTTTAGGGTTTAGGGTGTCTCCATGAGTGGGCGCGCTGGTGCTGAAAGCACCCAGGCGCGCGCCAAGATTTGCATAAGCCCACCCCCGCTGGCGCTCCACCCTCGCCTTAACCTCTACGGGTTTAGGGTTCTTTTGAACTCTGATCGTGCTTTTGTCATTTTTCTCTTGTCTATTGGGTTGAAGCTCGGCATCGATGCAGATCAACTACCCTGAAGTTCGTAGCCCCCAGGCCCTAGGCATTGCAAGGGAGATGTCTATCAGTCGAGGGCTGCTGGGAGAGCCAAAAGTCAGAGGTTTGGGCTTGGGGTTGGCTGCCGCCTTCGCCCTCGGCGATGCTGCGTGCTGGGCTGGGATTTGGAAAACTTGCTTGGAAGGGAGTGAAATTAGAGGTTTGGGCTTTCGCCATGCTGATGCTGCAACTTTTGTTATTTTTGTCTTTTCTGATGGTTGTTGAGGAGATCCTCCCAGTCCCAGGCAAGGGGCCTCCCAGGCAGGGGGGCCTCCCAGTGAGTCTTTCTCAAAAACCTGAAGGTTTGGGCTTGGGGCTGGCTGCCGCGTTCGTACTTGGTGATGCTGCGTCCTGGTTGGGGATCCTTCAGGTTCAGGCAAAAGGTCGGCAAGCAGGAGATCCTCCCAGTCGCCTCCCAGTGAGTCTTTCTCAAAAACCCAAACAAAGGTTTACGCTCGGAACTCGCCCTTGATGATACTGCGTCCTGGTTGGGGATCTGGGTCCCTTGCTTGGAAGCCTGCTTTTCAGGTTCAGGCAAAAGGTTTCCGGCAAGCAGGACTAACAGTGCTAGGCAGGGGGCCTCTGAGGCAGGGGGCCTGACAGCCTCCCAGTGAGTCTTTCTCAAGAACCCGAAGGTTTGGGCTTGGGGCTGGCTGCCGCATTCGCGCTTGGTGATGTTGCGTCCTGGTTGGGGATCTGGATCCCTTGCTTGAAAGCTTCAGGCCAGAAGGGCCAATTCAGGGGCCTCCCAGATAGGGGCCTCCCAGGCAGAGGCTTCCAGGCAGGGGCCTCCCAGGCAGAGGCTTCCAGGCAGGGGCCTCCCAGGCAGGGCCCTCGGCAGAACCTTCCAGGCAGGGCCAGGCAGGGGCCTCCCATGCCTGGGCCAGACAAAGGCAGGCAGGGGCCTCCCAGGCAGGGGCCTCCAGGCAGGGGCCTCCCAGGCAGGGGCCTCCCAGAGGCGAAGCCCTCCGAATACAGAACCGGGTCTGGGAGCCTCTGGTCCAGGAAGCACGACGACGGGCGGAGGCGAGGCTCTTCTGGGAGAGGCCCGGAAGACCTCCCAAAAGGAGGTTGCCATGTTTTGCCCGAAGGTTTGGGGTATCTCATTCTAGGGGCGACCTGACGGGTTTCTCGCCAGCGACCTGCCGGGTCCACCGCGCAGCCCGCAGCTGCCTGCGGGACTGGAGTTCCTCGGGTGCCGGAGGGCTTCTGGCTCTGGAGCTACCTAGCCTGCCGGCTTCGGTGCGTTCGCCCTGCTCGAAGGCCCGGGCTCACTCAGTTTAGGGTTTAGGGTTTAGGGTTTAGGGTTTAGGGTTTAGGGTTTAGGGTTGAGGGTTGAGGGTTGAGGGTTGAGGGTTGAGGGTTGAGGGTTGAGGGTTGAGGGTTGAGGGTTGAGGGTTTAGGGTTTAGGGTTTAGGGTTTAGGGTTTAGGGTTTAGGTGCTTGGAGGTTCATGGGGGTAGTTACAAGCAGGCTTGCACGGCCAGGGTGAAAAAACCTACTCTAGCTAGATGCCGTATGCCGCGAACCTTCGGTATCAGGGACCAGGCAAGACCCTCGAACTCTTGAGGATCGAAGTTCCGGCACGGCACTGCCGCAACCTGAGGCCATGGTACCCGGCGATCGGGTCATCTGCTTCGAGTGCAGAAAGGAGCTGGCGTAGTTTTGTAGGACACTGTTACCGAGACTGAGACTACCAAGTGCTCTAAGTTCTTGTCGTTGTCGTGACTACTGGCGTTGCCTTTTTCTTCTTCTGCAACTACATGGCCTGCTGTTGCTGTGACGATTAAATGTATGAGCTCATTTTGACACAGGCTTTGTGGGGTGCTGGGGAGTCGACAGGCTAGTGGAAGGAGTGGCAAGGGGTGGTAGCCACTGTGGGCCGCACAAGCCCAAGACCCCCCATCCCACTTTTGCCTTTAGCTGGTATCCCGCTTATGGCAAGGGTGGCAGAGGGTTAAGCGGCAGCCCTACCCCCACGCTGTTTCAAGGAGCCAGAGTTGAGCGGGTTTGGGGCTCAAGGTTGGAACTGGGACGAGCCCGGAAGCCTCAACCAAGCTCTGTATGCCATTCTGGCACAAGGACTTGTAGAAGGAGCCGCTCGTGTGATCGATGCCCCAGAGGCATAGGGGCAGCTAGGCTCGGGGAGCGGGATCATGGTGTACCCTCGATGCCAGGTGATTTGCTACTTAGTTGCTGCTTCTAGGTGGGAGGGGCCTAGCAGATCCTGCTCTTCGATCCGTTGTTTGGTTGGGGGTGCAGACCCTGCATGTTTTTTAGGCCGTTCAAAAGTCTGCAAAGAGTCTTCGAGCAACTAAGTGCAAGAAGTACTTCTTCTTGTCGCAAAAGGGCTTGCTTGCCTTACTGTCCCTTGCAAAATGGAGCCTGTATTCAGCATGAAGTCAGACAGAGATCAATCGGAGTTTCACTGTCTTGAACATGCGAAGCATGATTCGCCAAATAGCTCGAGAGCTCCAGTGCAATTTAATGGAAGCGATGAAGACATGCCCAATCTTCTGTATGAGAACTCTGACCTCAGGAGCCCAAACAACCCTATAGTTACTGTAGTTTCGACCTCCGACGTGATTGGGCAGTCCGAATTCGGGTACTGAGCCCAACAAATGCACCACTGCACCTGGGCTCCCAGGCTTGTCATGGTTTAGCATTTCTGGAGGTTTTAGGGTTTGTGAGGTTTAGGGTTGTTGTTTGGTTTTGCACGTATGTGGCCTAGTAGGGTTCGTAGATTGTTTCTGAGCACACGTCAGCGCCGGAGCCAGAACGTTGCCCCACCCCCTCGGCACTTCCAGAACAGGTCTTTGGAGGGTAGAGGAGGGGGGTAGCTGGTGGGTGAGGTAAAGTGGGGGTGTGGGGAGAGGTTCGGGGGGGTACGAGGCCTCCGTGCAGGTACATGCTGCTGCTATGGAGTCGCCTATGTCGACCTTTCAGAAGTAGGGTGTGAGCCCAAGGGCCTAGTGACACCGTCTTCACTGTGACCATGAAGCGTGACCATGAACAGCAGAAGGAATATCTTCAGTATATGGGGCATGTATGAGAGCGCAGAAGAGCAGCCAGAGATGAGGGAAGCTAACTCCTGGCCCACAGCAGTACTCCAGCATTTAGACACACAAAGCAACACTTCACAACTTACACGGATCTTACGATCACGTGTTTGCCCGCGGGTTGCCATGGCTCTTGGTCGTGGGCCGCTTGTCCTGTTGAACAAGTTCTGCAACTGCAACTAGTGTGTAGACTCCTCAGACATGTCCTTTGAGCTCGCTTGGAGAAGGCGATCCTGGATGCCAGGTTCCGCTTATTTCCGTTGCTCGCCTGTCTGGTCCACTCTGGCCCAGCAGACTTTGGTGATACCACCAGCAGAACTGAGCGTCCGCGCCCTATGCCGGAGCATGACAACAGCATGGCGTCTTCTGTGTTGAGGGTAGGTCGAAACTTTATAGGTTTGCAATATAGAGGTTCAAGCCCGAGGAAACAACTGGGCCGTGTTGGTCGAGACCTCCCGCTACTGGTACAATTATCGGCATGCGGCGAATGAGCCTCGGAATGAGAAGAGGACTTTGACCTTGTACACCAGGTAAAGCCCCTTGTGAATGTGAGTGAGGAGCCGGAACACCACCCTAAACCTTAAACCCTAAACCCTAAACCCTACACCCCAAACCCTATACCCTAAACTTTATAAACCCTAACCCCTAAACCCTACACCCTGAATCCCAAAGTCGAGATCTTTGATTCCCTGAGACGCTGTCGTTCTACCACACCGTGAAGCGCCTGGGCATCCCGGACTCCCAGATCATCCTCATGATGGCAGAGGCTTTTGGGGCTTTTGGGGCTTTTGGGGCTTTTAGGGCTTTTAGGGTTTTAGGGTTTTTTGAGGGGGTTTTAGGGTTTTACGAGTTTTGACGGTTTGGGTGTTCAGGGTTTTTCGGGCTTCAAAGGGCAACCTTTCGGGACTCATGGCGATAGGGTTGAGGGTTGAGGGCCTTTTCATCCTTGGATTCATGGCTTGAGGGGCAGATCTTGGGAGCGGTCGGGGGCACCTGATCGTTGTTTTTTGAGTGATAGTTTGTGGTTCCATGGATTGTGCAGGCCTAGCAGCAGTGCAGCAATTGCTCCTGTATGAAACTCCGAATCTTCCAGAACTAGTTCTCCACAAGGCAAGCTAAGAGATGTCCTGGACCCCATTCACCCCAGGATGTGCCCTGCAACTCGCGCAACGCGCGGCCCGGCACCGTCTTCAATGAAAAGCCTGCGGCCTTGAGTACTGGAGCTTCGTTTTGAGACAGGTGGGTTCCCAGTTCTTGACCTCTGGGTTTCCCACTCTAAGGCAGCATAGGTTGAACCTCTACGGTGAGGAGGTGGAGGCGGGGGTGGAGCCTCAGCTGCCTGCTCTGTGTTGTTCACTGCGCTGGGAGGTCGACTACAGAGGCGACGAGGTGTCTGTGGAGAACTTTCTACGTCTCCTTACAGGTGACAGACACAGGGCGCGTGCATCACCCAGGTTCCCTCAACCGCAAAGCCTTCTTTGGGTTCCTTAAGCCATGAAGAAGGTCTTTTCTAGACGCACTCATATGACATCTGGAGCTCCACTTGACCATTGTTTTTCAGGAAGCCTCGGCACCAGTAGTGGGTACCGCCAGTCCCCCTAAAGATTCCCCGCCCTCCAACCAACAAAAAGAAACCCTAAAGCCCTAAAACCCTAAAACCCTAAAACCCTAAAAACCCTAAAACCCTAAAACCCTAAAACCCCAAACCCTAAACCCTAAACCCCAGCGCGCCGGTGAATTCCCCCTCCCCCCCAACCCAAAAAAAACAAGTGGTCCAAGACAGGGCGCCATGCGCCAAGCACGCCCCGCAACAAGCGGCTGCTGACGGATTCCTCAAGCACGGAGCCTGGTTGGGATCGGCTTGGGATGGTTCGGGTTTTCTGTTGGGTCTCGGTGGAGCGCTAGGAACAGGAGTGAGGATGAAGTTAAGAGTGTAGCATGGGCAGCCTCAGCCACAACGCCATAGGTTGTTTTAGCTTACCTAAGCTCATGCACGTTCCTCTGTCAGCTTATTGCCTCTTGTGTTCATCGAGATGCTTCCGGTCTTTGAGGCAACATCTTCATCTTCATCACTGGCCACTCCGGCGAGGAGTTCATCAAGTTCCAGGACGACTTGGGCGGCCCTTTTTTGAAGTTCACGGCTCAGAGTATTCAAGTTTCGTGTGGGATTTGTGGGGTTTGTGGGATTTGTGGATAGGGCTTAGGGTGCCACGGAGGGTGATTTTTGGGCACCCCTGGAACTTGGAACCCCAAATCCTCAACCCCAGAACCCCAACGCCCGAAACTCAGTGGAAATTTGAAGTGTGTGGCCAGGACTGGGAGGAGCTGACCTCCAATGACATTGCGGACGCATTTAAGCAGATGCAGCAGCAGCTGATGCCTCAGACGCAGTGACACAGTGGCGATGCGGAGTTTCAGCTTGGAGTTGTTGAGGGTTGTATCATGACCGCAACCCTAAGCTCGCCCTAGCCCGAGCTGCCTCACTGGGGGTTTGGGTGTAGTCTGGTCAAGGACCTTCGCCTGCATCTGATCATCTGCTGCAGTCTGAGGCAGCGGTACAAGCAGATCTTCTGGGTCAGCGACACCTGCCAAGCGGCCACACTCCAGAACCAGTGAACCTGGCAGGTTTGTGTCAGGTTGCAGGTTTCCAGTCGCTGTTTTTTGAAAGCTCTAGCCGTCAGCTACAAAGCCATGGTCTTAAGCCTTAAGCGACCGAGCCTAAGCCCTTAACCATCAAAGACTCGGAAGAAGGTTCTACTCTCCGGGCATCCTGGCCTACGGCAGCAGCGGCAAGAAGGCCGATTTCTGAAGGAAGCCCTCTTCAATTCCAACCCACAAGCCACTCCATTTCTCTTTCTCGGAGGGTAGATAGTCGAAGGCAAACCCCAACCCCAAACCCGGTGACGTCAGAGGAGAACAGCTACAGCCACCACATCGACCATGACCTGGGTGTAGTCTGGAGCCCATGGGCTGAAAGACCTCTCCAACAAGTCAGGATCGACACATGAACCCAGACAGACTGAGCCAAGGCCATCATCGACCGCTTCACCTTCCACGCCCTCGACAAGCTGAACGGACTGGTGTCCTCTTCTCCCGAGACGGCCTCGCGGCTGCTTTAAGTAGGTTCAAGTCGGCTGTAAAGCTTGGGGAAGTGAAGCTTGAGATTCAGGTGTTTGAGGTGGTGGAGTGCAGTTCCTTCTCTGCCTCGCAGAGTCAGACTTCTGAGGTCAAGTCCTTCACCAACTGGACCCGCTTGCTGACAGTGCTGTCTGCTTGAGTAGAGTTTTGCTTCGCTGCTTGGATAGAGGGCTTGCCCAAACTCTAACTGTCGACTGTCGCCGTTTGCTGCTTCAGGAGCATATATAGGCAGCCAACTCGACCCTCATAGACGTGATCCGATTCTCTCCGCCTGAGAGGTTCAACCCAGTGCTGCTGAAGGCTCGGAGCCATGTGCAGATGCTATTTATGTTATACATATGATTGTTCTTGTCATTACTGTTATTATTATATTATTACAAGTCCTACTATTGCTATTTTTATTCTTATTGATATTGTTGTTACTTTTATTATTGTTATTATCATTCTTCTTCTTATTATTTTATATGATTATTGTTATGATGAATATTAATATGAATATTTTGATTAATCTCAGTTTAAGTTTTTGGGGAGGGATGAGCGGGGTTTAAGGAGCCCCACAGCTCACAACCAAAGCCAGCCCTGTCCAGTGCGGGGCAAGGGGGTCGGCGCAAGTGCGAACGAGTGTCTGCTTGACTGCTTGTTTCATCCAGAGGCTAAGTAGGGTCTTGCTTTTCTTGGGCTCTGTGCTGCTGAGTCTTCTTCTCCCGCCGCAAGGCACATCCAGAGTTGCGATCGGACCTCTTCGGGAGGGACCCAGGAGCGACGCTGCTAACGGAGTTCATGGCCTCCACTGGGAGGCGCGCCCCACTCAGCAAAACCGGTTTTTGCGGAACAGTTTGAAGCCACAGGTCTTTCCGGGTTGTTCCACTGGCACCTACAAGGGTGCCTTCAGGTAAAAGCATGTAAAAACCATGAGCGCTCTAGTGAAGCTGGGTCGGGGCGCAGCATCATCGAACGCTACCGGGAGGTTTGTGGCGAAGAGCCCCCTGAAGCTCTTGACAGCCCATGGGGATGCCAAATTACGGTTCCCAGTGGCTTTCAAGAAATCGCAGGCCACGGTTCCAAGATCGTCTGCTACCTGTGGCAGCCAGCCCGGATCAGGAGCCGTAGAGTTCCTGGTTCTTCCACGCACACAAAAATGTTAGTCACTGTTAGTCTTTACTCTTCCTGCTTCTGCTATCATTGCTTACCTTGTTTCTGCAAGCTTACTCCCTTCCTGTCTCTACTGTCTTCAACATCTTTCTCAATTGCAGCTGGCATGATCATGAACATTCCTTAAATATAAATATAAATATAAATATAAATATATATATATATATATATATATATATATATATATATATATATTTCTATATATATTTGTCTATGCAGCCGCAGGCCTTGTCCTTCCAGAGCCTGATTGCGCGGCAGCGTGTGGAGCCGAGCTGCATGGGACTCTGGGATCCCCTTGGCTGTTGCTTCCTTTCAAGTCGCCCCTACATAACCCACGTCCTAGGTGCGCACGAACCCGCAAGCAAGTTCGTCCACTGTTCAGTGTCGGCTGGGGCGGCTGGGTGGGTCTTGAAAGTCGTTGTGTACGATGAATGAGGCTGCTGTATCGGTTGCTGGTAGCAGTAGGGATTCTGTCGGAGGGCCCCAAGTGTGCTTGTCAGCGTGCTTACGTTGATCGTGCAGGAGTGCAGATATTCACGGCCTGTCGGGCTGTCAATCAAAGTATCCGTCAGTGTATGGAGAGCCCCCTACATATATATATATATATACATAATATATTTATTTATTTATATATACATGTACTTATCTGGCCAGGTTCTGCCCGTTCTGCCCCGTGTTTTTGCGTGCATGTTGAGGAGGGGAACCGCCCAAATCAGGGCCAATATTGGGGCCTGCCAGGGCTGCACCCGCCACGCCCGTTCGATCTTGAGAGAAGCCATCAGTTTCCGATGATGCTCATGATTCTCGGTCCGTGGGACGGCCACGGGGCGGCTCATGCTCCTGATGCTCACTTCTGGGGTGGGGGGTGGCAAGCTTCATGGTGACTGCCTCAGCCCCCGGACTAGACCATGTTGTTGAGCTTTCGACCTTTTTTCCTGACGCAAGAGTGTGATCCTTCCATTTGCCAGAATGGTTTGGCCTGCTGGATGCTCGTGAGGCAACTTCTCTTCAGACGCGAGAATGGACAAGCACCTGAGCTGGATGAAGAGTAGTGGTAGCAGGACACGCGCATTTTGGCGCTGAACCGCAAACCTAGCACTCCCAACCCCAAGCATCCTCTAATTGAATCGCACAAAGCCCCGCATGCAGCATACCCGAGCAAGGGCGGTGTAACCCAAAGGCCTTGCCTTGAACCAATACCGAGGTACACGACAGAGTCGGCCTCCTTCGAGGAGTCCTGGGAGGCCTTGTTGAAATCATTGTAGTAGGAGAATACATAAGATAGTAAGAGAATAAGACTAACAAGCTAAGATAATGGGTTAAGGTCCTTAACCAGGCCCAGGCCTTCAGCCCTAGAGGACCATGAAGCCCGTAAGGCCCTTTGGGCCCGTAAGGCCCGTGCAGGAGCCCGTGTGAGCCGGTAGTGAGCCGGCGCTTCTGAGACGCGAAAAACAAACGAAGCTTAGAAGGTGACGACAGTCACGAGGATGGCGCACCCCGCACGCCTCATCCTGGCACAGACGCCTCTCCAAAAGTGACGGCAGTTATGAGGCTGGCGCTTTGAGGCGTCAACGCCAAACGTAGCTTCAAAAGTGACGCCAGTTTCGAGGAAGACGCACCCCACGTGCCTCATCCTTGTAACTGTCAGCTTTTTTTTTTGCGAGCCACGAACATGCGACCGAAGTCCAAAAGTGACGACAGTTACGAGGATGTCGCAGGCCTCATTCTCTGATTCTCAGACATGCAAAGCCGCGCTTCCGAACACTTGCGAACGCTGCGGAACGCTTTCGAGCATTTTCGAACTCAAAACGCCGCACGATGTCGGGTAAACTCTGACAATGGGAGCCCTTTTACTGCATTCGGGGAGAAACAGCAAGCAACAATGCAACGTCTCCGCTGCACCCGCAGCAAAACACAGCAACAAAACGGCCCTCGCACCCACAAGAACAAGCACTTGCCACAATAATGCTCTTACCATGCATGTTGTTTGTGAGGATCGTGATACTGATGAGCGTGTACTGAGACAGTGACCCAGTTGGGCGGCTTGCTGTTGGGTGCATGAATGTTGTCTGTGAGGATTTGGCTGCAAGCCGCGTTGCTGACTGTTTGTGTGACGGCAACAATTCTGATGAGCGTGTACTGAGACAGTGACCCAGTTGGGCGGCTTGCTGTTGGGTGCTGGTGCATGGATGTTGTCTGTGAGGATTTGGCTGCAAGCCGCGTTGCTGACTGTTTGTGTGACGGCAACAATTCTGATGAGCGTGTACTGAGACAGTGACCCAGTTGGGCGGCTTGCTGTTGGGTGCATGGATGTTGTCTGTGAGGATTTGGCTGCAAGCCGCGTTGCTGACTGTTTGTGTGACGGCAACAATTCTGATGAGCGTGTACTGAGACAGTGACCCAGTTGGGCGGCTTGCTGTTGGGTGCATGGATGTTGTCTGTGAGGATTTGGCTGCAAGCCGCGTTGCTGACTGTTTGTGTGACGGCAACAATTCTGATGAGCGTGTACTGAGACAGTGACCCAGTTGGGCGGCTTGCTGTTGGGTGCATGGATGTTGTCTGTGAGGATTTGGCTGCAAGCCGCGTTGCTGACTGTTTGTGTGACGGCAACAATTCTGATGAGCGTGTACTGAGACAGTGACCCAGTTGAGCGGCTTGCTGTTGGGTGCTGGTGCATGGATGTTGTCTGTGAGGATTTGGCTGCAAGCCGCGTTGCTGACTGTTTGTGTGACGGCAACAATTCTGATGAGCGTGTACTGAGACAGTGACCCAGTTGGGCGGCTTGCTGTTGGGTGCATGGATGTTGTCTGTGAGGATTTGGCTGCAAGCCGCGTTGCTGACTGTCTGTGTGACGGCAATAATTCTGATGAGCGTGTACTGAGACACCCACACAGTTGGGCGTTTGGCCGTGTGCTGTGGGGTGTCACGCACGGATGGTGTCTATGAGGATCTGGCTGTAAGGTGGGGGGGCTTTTTTTTTAACGCTACGCGACCCCCGGCCCAGCGCATCCGCGTGAGCATGGTGATTCCGCAGCGCCCAAGTCGCTGGACCCCAAGCAATAAGGGTTGGGTTTAGGGTTTAGGGTTCCGGGTTTAATTATGGTTTGGCTGAGGGTTAGTTTAGGATTGAGGGCTTAGGGCTCAAGGTTCACAAATCCGGGTGTGCCCTCTTTTCTGCTTGGCCTGAGCAATCGGACATGCACAATGAATCTACTACCACATTTTTGTTCTTATGTTCTGGCAGTTTATTTAACCAATTGCTTTATTTTGAAGAAGTCTGTTTGCAGATCAGAAGCCCTTTCGAAATGCCATAGACATGCAGTTGAGGGCGGACTGTCAAGACAAGACTTTGCTTCCTTCCTACTGGCACTCTTAGATTCAGTTGTCCATGACATCGAACTCAAGGGCCTGTGGCCTAATGGATTGGTCTTCGGAACCAAAGATTGCAGGCCAGGCTCAGGGTAGGGGGGGGGGGGGGGGGGGAGGGGTATTTTGGGTGGGGGGCCCTGCTTGCTGGGGAGGCTTGAACTGCCTCTGGTCCTGGCGAACTGTCCGCTTGGGGACCCCGGTTTCCTAGGGGGGGTACCCATTTGAGGCAAAAAAAAGTCTGAAAAATGGTTTTGGGTGTGGGGGAGGGGTGCCTGTTCTGACAACCTTTACACCTCCGGCCCGAGGCCTCGGCAGATTTTCAGGCTTGGATTCACACTTTGCGCTTGCAGATGCAGAGGAACCAATAATTGAAACCCTAAACCTTAAACCATCGACCCTAAGTTTCCCCAACTTCAAAAAGCAAAGACTTCGGATCCTCTGTGCAGACGGCGGTGCTGCA